GTCTGCTTCTCCCTCTGACCCTCCCCCCTCTCATGCTCTCTCTCTCTATCTCATTCTCTCTCTCAAATAAATAAATAAAATCTTAAAAAAAAAAAATTTTAGAATGGCTTTTACTGCATCTCAAAGACTGAACCATTGTATTTTCATTTTCATTTGTCTCCATGTATTTTTTTATTTCCTCCTTGATTTCTTGGTTGACCCACTCATTGTTTAGTAGCATGTTATTTAGCTTCCATGCATTGGTATTCTTTTTAGATTTTTTTCTTGTGATTGATTTTTAGTGTCATACCATTGTGGTTGGAAAAGATGCATGATATGATTTCAGTCTTCTTAAATTTATTGAGACTTGTTTTGTGGCCTAAGTTGTAATCTATTCTGGGGAATGTTCAACATGTCCTTGAAAAGAATGTATTCAGTGGTTTTTGGATGGAATGTTCAGTATATATCTGTTAAGTCCATCTGGTCTAATGTGTTGTTCAAATCCACTGTTTCGTTATTGATTTCTGTCTGAATGATCTACACTGATATAAGTGGAATGTTACAGTCACCTGTTATTATTGTATTACTGTCAACTTCCCCCTTTATGTCTGTTAATTATTGCTTTATGTATTTAGGTGCTCCTATGTTGAGGGCATAGATATTTATAGTTGTTACATCCTCTTGTTAGATTGATCCCTTTATCATTATGTAGTGCCCTCCTTTGTCTCTAGCCTACAGTCTTTGTTTTAAAGTCTACTTTATCTGATATTAAGTATTGCTATCCCAGCTTTTCTCCTGCCTTTTGCATGGTGTATTTTTTTATAGCCCTTCATTTTCAGTCTGTATGTGCCTTTAGGTCTGCAGTTAGTCTCTTAAAGGAGCATATAGATGGGTCTTGTTTTTTTTATCCATTCAATCACCTTTTGTCTTTCAATTGGTGCATTTAGACAATTTACATTTAAAGTAATTATTGATAGTTATGTACTTACTGCCATTTTGTTCATTATTTTCTGGTTGTTTTTGTGGTTCTTCTCTTTTCCTTCTGTTTCTCTCTTCCTATGTGGTAGTGTTATGTTTGGATTCCTTTCTCTTTATTTTTTGTGTACCTATTATAGGTTTCTGATTTGTGGTTGCCATTAGGCTTATATATTTTATCTTAGGTGTATAGCAGTCTGTATTAAGTTGATGGCTGAACTTAGGTTCAAGCTTAAATTCAAAAACATTTTAAAAGTACTACATTTTTACTCCCCCTCCACATTTTATGTATATGATATTGTATTTTACATCTTTTTATTTTGTGTATTTCTTGGCTGGTTTTTGTAGATATAAATGATTTTACTACTTTTGCTCCAGACTGGCTTTATACATGATTAATCTACTACATGTATTGTGTGTTTACTTTTACCTGTGAAAATTTTTCCTTTCATAACTTTCTTATGATTATGGCCTTTTCTTTCCACTCAGATAATTTCCTTTTACATTTCTTGTAGGGCTGGTTTAGTGGTGATTAAATCCTTGAACTTCTGTCTGGGAAACTTTTTGTCTCTTTTTTTATTCTGAATGATAACTTTGCCTTGTAGAGTATGCTTAGTTGCAGGTCTTCCTTTCAGTACTTTGAATATATAATGCCACTCTCTTCTGGCCTATGAATTTTCTGGTGAAAAATCAGCTAAAAACTTTATAGGGTTTCCCTCGTAGTAACTTTTTTTTCTCTTGCTGCTTTTAAAATTCTCTCCTTAGAGGCACCTGGGTGGCTTAGTCAGCTAAGCATCCAACTCTTGATTTCAGCTCAGGTCATGATCTCAGGGTCATGAGATCGAGCCCCACATTGAGCTCCCCAACTCATTGGGGAGTCTGCTTGAGTTTTCTCTCCCTCTCCCTCTGCCCCTCCCCCTGCTTATGTGCACACGTGCTCTCTCTCTCTCAAAATAAATCTTTAAAATTCTTTATCATTACTTTCTGCCATTTTAATTTTACATATCTTGGTGTGGACCTCTTTGGGTTAATCTTGTTCGGGGCTCTCTGTGCTTCCTGGATTTGGATACCTGTTTCCTTCCCCAGATTAGAGAAGTTTTCAGTTATTCTTTCTTCAAATAAATTTTCTGCCCCCTTCTCGCTCTCTTCTCCTTCTGGGATGCCTATAATGTGAATGTTATTACACTTGATGGTGTTGCTGAGTTCCCTTAACGTGTTCTCCTTTATTATTATTCTTTTTTTCTTCTTGCTGTTCAGCTTGGTTGCTTTCCATTACCTTGTCTTCCAAATTGCTGATCCATTCTGCATCCTCCAGTCTACTGTTGATTGCCTCTAGTGTGTTTGTTTTTGTTTTTGTTTTTTTAATTTCAGTTATTGAATTCTTCATCTCTGACTGGTTCCTTTTTATATCGTTGTTGAAGTTCTCATTGAATTCATCCATTGTTTTCTCAAGTCCAGTGAGTATCTTTATGACCATTACTTTGAATTCTTTATCCAGGCATATTGCTTATCTCCATTTCATTAGATCTGCTGCTGTGATTTTGTCCTCTTCTTTCATTTGGGACATATTCCTCTATCTCCTTATTCTGTCTAGCCCTCCGTTTGTTTCTCTGTATTAGGGGATCAGCTATGACTCCTGGTCTTGAAAGTAATGGGGTTCTGTGGTGGTCTTGAAAGAAAAGGTTCTGTGGTGCCCTGTAGTGCAGTGCCTCCAGGCACCAGAACCAGGTGCTCCAAGGGTGTCTCCTATGTGGGCAACATGCACCCTACTGTTGTGGCTGAGTTGCATTTGCCTTAGTTGGCTGCAATGACCTGCTGTGCCTGCTGTGGGCACACTGGGCAAGGTTTAGTCCCTGCACAGCCAACTAAGAGGCTCAGCTGTTGGAACTGTGGGCACACTGATGTGTAGGGTTATCTCTCTCTCTCCAGGGCTGCTTTTGGAGTGGCGTGGGTCCCTGCTCAGGCTGCTTGCAGGGTGTGGTGGGGCAGGAGTTGTTTTGAAGGACCACCTGCTGAGGCAGGCAGGTCCCCAGGTGAAAGTCGGGGCAGGGCGCTAGCAAGATAGGTAGAGAGTATTAGTGGTAGTTCCCACAAGTGTCTGGCTATCTAGATGGGGGAGGAGAAGAGAAATGGTGCCCACCAGCACTTTTGTTCTGGAAGTCTCCTGAAGAGAAGTCTCCCTGACCCTCCAGCACATGTTGAGATTGGTAACAAATATCCTTCACATATACCCAAGCACTTTTCAAACTGCTGTTTCTGTGCTGTCTCTCAGGCCAAGTTATTTATTCTAGCTCTTTAAGGGCTGGGACTTAGTTTCTGATTGCCCTCTGGCTCTCCCAGAGTTAAGGCCTGCTAATTTTTAAAGTACCTGGACTTAAGCCCTGCTGATTTTAAAAGCTCCCAAAGTTTATCCCCACTGGTTTTCAAAGCCAGATGTTACTGGGAACTCATCGTCCCACTGCCTGGGGTGCCTTGTGTGGGGTCTGATCCTCTCTGCTTCTCTGTGCTTGTGGTGTCCCTCCTGTTTGTGGTTAGTCTCACAGGAGTTTGGTTCCCAGGTGTGTCTCAGCCCCTCCTACCCTTTTCAATGTGGCCTTCTCTCAACAGTTAACTGTGGAAGGTCTGTTCTGCCAGTTTTCATGTTGTTTTCAGAGTTACACAGAGGTAGCTATTATCTTGGTGTGTTTGTGAGACAGGATGAGCTCAGGATCCTCCTACTCTACCATCTTCCTGACACTCCTGCTTCATGTGTTTTAAAGCTCTATTATTTGGTCCATACATCTTCAGACTCATTGTGTACCCCTTGTTGAAATGATCCTTTTATCATTCTGAAATGACCCTTTAATCCCAGGCAATATTTTTTACTATGAAATCTACTTTGATATTAATATAGACCTTCCAGTTTTCTCTTGATTAGTGTTAGCATGATGTATCTTTTTCCATTCTTTTATTTTTAACCGATTTGTATCTTTATATTTAAAGTGGGTTTTTTTGTAAGCAACGTATAGTTGGGTCTTGCTTTTTTATCCAGTCTTATAGTCTCTGCCATTTAATTGGCATGTTTAGACCAGGATTCAGCCATCTGCAGCTCGTAGGCCAAATCCAGCCACCACCTGCCATTGTAAATAAAGTTTTATTTGAACACAGCCAAGCGCATTCATCTGCATATCATCTGTGGCTCTATCACCACAGTGTCAGAGTTTGCCAGACTGTTGTCAGACTGTTTACATTTAATGTAATTATTAATATGGTTGGATTTTAAACAGCAGTGTTGTTACATGTTTTTTTATTTGTCCCATCTGTTTTTTTCCATTTTTCCTTTTTTTCTGCCTTCTTTTGGATTAATTGGGTATTTTTCATAATTCTGTCTGATCTCTTGTTGACTTGTTAGCTGTAACTCTTTTCATTATTTTAGTGATTGCTCTTCAAGCATTCAGAAAATAGAGTGAATAACCCTGGAATTCTTGATTCTCTTACTCAAACTTTATCCACCAGACTGTTACCTTTCTAACTTCTGTGAAATTAAGGTGTATATGCCATAGCCTTTTTTCCTTCTATTCTTTACAGAAAAGAAAGATAGGGTAGATAAGGACTTTTGTTTGCCTGTATGTGAATAGCCAAAATAAATGTCTTATATATGATTTAGATTGAGAGTAGAATTGCATTTTTAGGAACATCCACCTGTAAGATATGTTACACTGATTCATTATTTTGAGTCACTTTTTGAAATAGTGATTATTGAGATACTGTAATATAAAGTTCCATGTCTTTGCAGGCAACCATCAATATCGTTTTTGACCGAGTTGGGAAAACTGATCCTGTCACAAGAGGCATCGAGATCACTGTGAATTATCTGGGGATCCAATTTGATGTAAGAGTTGTATCAAGATCCTGGTTTCATACATTTCTATTTTACCTGCTATAAATTACAATTGTTAAGATTTTAATTTCTTACTTAATTCTGCCTTTGTTCTTCCCACTCTCCTCTGTTTTGACATACTCATATGGAAGATTTGTAAAGGACATAAAACCAGAAGTGATAGCTGGTACTTATTACTGTCTTAGATGCTGATTATTTCTGTAGTTCCTCTGCTGCTTTTCTGTAGCCAGCTCCCCCTCCCCAGTTTCTCCCCACCAAATACTGGATACTTCTCTCTGTGATACATGAGATTGTCAAATCCAGAACTCACCTTTGGTTCCTCTAGTAGAAAAGTAACTACTAATTAGTGTTCCATGTTAGAAGTGAAATTATGTCTGCCGTAAAAAGCTACCAATTAATTAATGTGGACTTTGAGCTAAAGATGGTAACTGTAACCTGTGCAGTTTTAATCTTCTTTCTACCTGTTTTATAATACCACTATCATTAAACACACTCTTGTCCCAATTTAAGTTTAATGTCTTTATTTATAGAAGAATATATTTTCCAAATGTATGTATATATATATGTGTGTGTGTATCTATATATAAATGGCCATTGATTCCAGCTGATTAGCACTTTGATATGATAGTAAGACTCACGTTTTTAGTCCCTCTGAGGGCTATTTAGCTGTGCTGTGATTCTAGTGACAGACTGCATGCTCCCCGCAGCCATCTGCCTCAGCTGGACATGCTCCTAGTAGCTAGATAAAATGAAAGCAAACCAGAGCAAATTGAGCTCCAGTCCTTGATGAACAACTCAAAGCACATGGTTTTTGAGGATAGATCAATAGTATAAACTTTTTCATGTGAGGGAGCATGGTATCTTTCCTCCAAGTAGTTTATAAATTATACCACAAAATAGGCTTCACTATTGCTGATATGTGTTCTCTTTTCCTCTTTTAAAATTTTTACTAGGCTCAATTATTAGAAGTGTTCTTCCTTATCAGTGCTTTCTGAGGCTAGTTGCTGTGGTGTCTCTGTATTTCATTTATAATCCATCTGTATACTCCACGTTTCAGAATTCTGAATAACATCTTTTAGATGTTAGTAATAGCAGTTCCCCCACAGACACTTTTCAGACCTGAATCAAGCACAGGGTCCCAAAGCTGCCTTCCACTATGAAGCAAACCAAGAGGAGAAAAAAGTAACATCATGTAATTCAAGTGAAGGGCAACTATTTCCTAGACCATAGCTGAGAATATTTACATATTCTTTTATTATAAAAAGAAAAATTTCTTTAAGTTTTGGGTGATCAGGGGACTATCATTCACAGATGTTAAAAATAATTTAGCTGCTATTTAATAATTTCAATTTGTGCTTTTCACTTAACACACCAAAGCTGCATCATTGGTTCCATCTGTGTTTCTCTGACTAATGTTATTTTCATCACCACTGCACTTGCTTGCTTCCGTCCTAAGTTTTTATTAAGTCTACTTATTAAGCTATCCACTGCAGTCTTCCTAGGTGTAGTTGCCCCTTACTCATTTTCCTCCCTCCCTAAAAATTTTTTTAAATCAGGTAGGGCCTAATGAAATTCCCTCTCAGTCACATAAGAGATCAGAATGCATCAGAAGAATAGCCTTCACATGTCTCTCAACAGAGATTTCACACATACTTTTCCTTCCTTTTATGGTGGCAGGTAAAGTTCTGGTCTCAGCACATTTCCTTCATTCTGGTTGGAATAATCATCGTCACATCTATCAGAGGATTACTGATCACTCTTACAAAGGTATGTTGTAGCACTGAGTTTAAATTAGGATTTGCGGCATTTCATGTGGCACCATGAGATAATTTTACCTAATTAAGATTTCTGCCTTCGGAGAACTTAAACAGTCACAAATATTTAAAAGACCTACCATAAAATTTTTTAAAATTGAAACTGCTCAATAAACTGATGATGATGGGTTTACATCATATGCCAATCAGATGAGTACATTTAACAAAGGTCATAGAATGAGTTCACGGTCTGTTTTGTTCGCTGATGTGGCACCAGCATCTAGGAGTAGAAACTGGCACATGGTAGGAGCTCCAGAGATACTTGGAATGGATGAACAAGATAGGTATTTGAGGTTAGAGTAACTTTGAGAGTTATGTATAAGGAGGACATGTAAGGAGGACAAGTAGAATGTTTTACTATTTTCTGATCAACGTCGGAAGGCTTTATGGAGGCAGAAGGTAGGTTTTCTCTTGGAGAAGAGGTGTGGGGAGCCCAAGATCCAAGAGTTGTTTGAATGAAAGGAGTGAAGAGGTTAGGAGGAGAGAAGAAGAGAAGGGCACTCCAGGCATCTAGCACAATTTTGGCAAGAGCTTAGGAGGCTAGTAGTAATTACAAGGGCTTGGGGTGGCCTGGAGTAATCTGGTCTAACGTTTTACAGTGATATATGAAAGTCCTGTGTATCACATAGTTTCTGAAAAATTTGCTAGCGATTGGAATCCTTTCATGTCCTAATGTAATTAGTTCTTAAAACCACCAGCTCTCCCTCTGGGGACACCATAGCTGGATCCTTTGCTATCAGTCTGTTTCTCTTCTTCACAGCGTTAATCATATCTGTTGTTCTCTGCTGGATTGCTATGGGGAAGAAACACTTTTCACTAAATGTTAAGTAGGCTCCTTAATGTTCTTGACACAAGAATCCGGCAGCACTGCATAAGTTCTTCTCCCTTTCTTGACAGTTCTTTTATGCCATCTCCAGCAGTAAGTCCTCCAATGTCATTGTCCTGCTATTAGCACAGATAATGGTAAGTGTAATGACCTAGTTTTATGCTTACAACTGTAAACTGCCAGAAGTGTTTATACTTCTAAATATTGTAACAATTCCTTTTGGTCCTTCACCACATTCCAAGTGACTTCTGGATTAACTTACAGGGCATGTACTTTGTCTCCTCCGTGCTACTGATTCGAATGAGCATGCCTCTAGAGTACCGCACCATAATCACCGAAGTGCTTGGAGAGCTACAGTTCAACTTCTATCACCGTTGGTTTGACGTGATCTTCCTGGTCAGTGCTCTCTCCAGCATCCTGTTCCTCTATTTGGCTCACAAACAGGCACCAGAGAAGCATATGGCACCTTGAACTCACACCTGTTACAGACTGCTGCAGGCCAGTGGTGTCAGAATTTGGATATAAGAGAAAAAATGGAGGGGACCAGGGCCTCATGTTTTTTAAACAATCAAAATGCTGAGGTAGCATATTCTGCCTTCAGCGTATGCCTCCCTCCTCTGTGGATACTGTGATCATGAGTAGCATTAGCTAGAACATGGGAGCGTGAAGTAAACTTAAGCTAGCACTCAGCTGAGAGCATCCCATGTGGGTTTGAGGCTGGTGGGAAAGGGGGTGGAAAAGAGCCAAGAAACTAGGTGGGGGGAATACACTGGAACTCTGCAGGTAAGGGGAAGTCTCAGGGAGCTGGGCCGAACACCCGGAATTTCTGCTCAAGGCTCACACGGAGGAGGTTATGGCTTTCCCTTAAGATTGACTGTCATTAAAATCAGATTGCAACCCTTTGGCCTTAGCTTCATTTTCTCAAGGACAGCTTGGTGTAGTGTGCTTGTGCAATCTAACACGAGTTGGCATCCTCCTGCCAACCCCTGCCCCATTAAAATAACCAACAGGTTCTCTCTTCTTGTCTGGGGACAGGACGGTGTGCTACTGAAATAGATTCTGCCAAGAGCATTCAGGTATATCATCTTTATTGATTTCCTTTTAATTAAGTTAGTATTATTTGAGAGTGAATTACTGTACATTCAATTTGGTGATGATGTCTCATTTTTTTCTTTCCATCTGCCCCTCATGCTGTGTGGTAAAACAATGAATAACTGTTAACTAGAATAAGTCATTTTCCTAGCCCCTACTTTCTCCATCTGTGAAAGGAAAATGCTGGAAAGGTTACAGAACATTGAGAAATGCAATTTAAGGAAATCCTGAGTTTTATCACCAGTAAGTCTCTAAGATCTTATTCTGAATTTTATTGTTTTGGGTTTCTAGAGGCAAAATGAAGGTTACAGCATAAAAGCAAGTTTACCAAAAACAAAAGCACTCTTGAGGTTTTATCAACTAACCGGGAAGATTCAAGTATACTCTAAAGGCATTCTTAATGGCATCTATTTTAGCAACCACAACATTCTTACAAAAGTATAATTTTAATAGGCTCATCTGCTCAGATACTTTATAGCAGCTCTCACATATACAGATTTACAAATCATCTTTAATGCTCAAGGAGCCTATAGAATTAAGAGATATCGTCATAGAGAAATGTAGTGAAGTTGAAGCTTGAAAGAAATCACGTGAAAAGAATGTGGTTCCCGCCTTAAGTTGACCATAAATAAGCCATCTATTGCAATAGTCACCCCCAAGGCAAATGACAACAGAAGACAGTCCCCCATGATGAACTGGTTGCCAGAGGAGTTCCTCTCTACCAGAGACAGTGAATGGGTGGCAGCTCATTCTTCGGGAAAGGATCCCTACTCAACACCCAGAAACAGCTGTCAGCCAACGCCGTTAGTTGCTCTCATCACATCTCTGTATCTTCAGAATTGGAAGAAGAATGTGAGGCTGTACTGTACGCCTACGCAAAAGAGAACAAAAGGTCCGTAAGTGCGAGAGTGTGAATGTCAGCAGCTGCATGACTTCAGGCAGGGAGTAGAGTCACTCACTAGAAGCCAGGTAACCTGAATTGTGCAGTTGGCTTTGTTTCGCCTGCCGTTTGACACTAACAAATTTTTTAATATCTGTAGATCTTTTCTATAAAGCTAGCATACGCCTATAATTGACTTGCTATAGAAATATAAAATTTTTTAAAGACAAGTAGACGCTTTCTTTGCTAAGCAATCAAGAATGCAAGGTCAGTGGCTACTGTGTGTGCTGTGGTCTGAATGTTTGTATTTCCCCAAAATTCATATATTGAAATACTAATCCTAAGGTCAGGTGATGATATTAGGAGGTAGGAACCTTTGGGAGGTGATTAGGTCATGAGGGCAGAGCCCTCGTGATTGGGATTAAGGCCTTATGAAAGAGCCCCCCACCCCCACCTCGAGCTCCCTATCCCCTTCTACCATGTGAGGACATAGCAGGAAATTGGCCAGCTACAGCCTGGAAGAGGGCCTTCCCCAGACACCAAATCTGTCCTTCAGAACTGTGAGAAATAAATGTGTGTTGTTTATAAGCCACCCAGTCTATGGTCTTTTATTATAGCACCCCAAACTACGTGTGTCTTCATTAACAAACAGTATTTAATTTATATGACCAGTCTGTAAAATTAATGTAAATGGAGTAGAATTAAATGTAATGGAAAGAAGAATGATATAAAACTTTTAGAGTCTTGGCTTTGCCATACATTTCCTCTGTGAACTTGGACAAAAATATAAAAGACTTATCGAGGATTTTAATCCAAATACAGAGTAATGCTTATTCCTCCCTATTAATAAAACACAAATACCTGCCAATTATCTTAAAAACAATGTCTCTAACCACCACCATTCATTTTATGCTTAGCATTATTAACCAGGCACTGTTTGAAGCACTTTGATAGTCTTAGTTAATAGGAAACAAACTGCGGGTTGCTGGAGGGGAGGTGGGTAGAGGGATGGGGTAACTGGGTGATGCACATTAGGGAAGGCACTCAATGTAATGAGCACTGGGTGTTATATGCAACTGATGAATCACTAAACTCTACCTCTGAAACTAATAATATACTATATGTTAATTGATTTTAAATAAAAGAATCAGTAATTTTTAAAAAGTCTTAGTTTATAATAATAATAATACTACAAATTATCCTTGGTTTACAGGTGGGGAAAGTGAGGCAGAGAATGAATAAATCCATTTGCCCAAGGCTGTTAAGTGGCAGAACCAGAATTTGTACATAGTCTGATTCAGGTTCTTCTGATGGTTCCATTATAATTTTGATAAACTTTTATTTCTTGATTTGACAGTTACCGTCAACTCCATGCCATGAAAAAGCAGCTCGTCCTCCTACCACTTCTCCACCAAAATAATTTGACTTGCTTGTTACCTTTGTAATTTCCTAGTATTCTAGGAAATCTGCGGTAAACAGAGACCTGAAGTGTGCTTATTAAGGATTTTATCATACCCTGATAGGTTAGATCACTAAAAGAAGTCTATCACCACTCACTCGTTCTTTTGCCGTGTGTGAGTCGTGCTCTGGTTCTGCCAGTGTCTCTTCTTTGGAATCAGTGGGGGCATCCAGTGGATCAGCCATGGAGGAAACAATAGGGATTTTCTTAGCCTGGAAATAATCATAGGCTTTCTTTCCACAGACTAAGAGTGTGACATTCTCCCCACTGCTCTGGATTCTGTCTACCAACTTCTCATAGGGTTCATCCACCACGTTCACTCCATTCACTTCGATGATGATATCTTCATCCTCCAGCCCTGCCAGCTCGGCAGGGCTGCCCTTCAGTACCTATAAAAAGAAGGTCTGAATTATCACTTCCAGACACGGATAAAGGAATGTTAGATTAGCTTCCCTTCGGAGGAGAGAGGAGTCTGAAAATGTGTTCTTAATCACATTCTTTCTCCCTGAGGTACAGAAGAAAGGTGCTCTAATGCTTTTCTGCTTCAGAAAGTTCCAACAACCGTACTCAAATGAGTACCATGGGAAGAGGGCTCCAAGATGACAGCACAAGAAGACTCTGAACTCACCTCCTCCCACAGACACCAAATCTACACCTACATAAAGAGCAATTCCTCCTGAAGACCTGAGGGCTGATTGAGCAGCGTCTGCACAAAAAAAGGAGAGACCACATAGAGAACAGCAGGAGATGGAGACACAGTAATGATGAGACCCCCACCCCTGCCACTACAAACTGCAGTAGGGAGGGATAGCACTGAGGAGTCTGCACAGATTCCCCAGACCTGGGGCCCAGGAAAAAAATAGCAGTTTAAAGAGCAGCTAGACTCTGAAGGGAACCAATTTACTAACCACAGAGCATCCAGCAAATGGTAGGGAAACTGCTGAAACTCTCAGGGTCACGCGTCTAGCAAGTACCACTGTTGACATTCCCTCTCCAGCTTGATAGTGTAAGTCGGGCCCAGGGTCCAGGTGTTCTAGCCATCCTGCCACCTCAGCAAACCCAGGGACCCTAGCCCACACCAGCTGCAGGTGGGCACTGTCTGGCACACACCAGGACCCCCTCAGCTGTCTCACCAAAGTAGTCATGGCATAGGCGCCCCAAGATCACCCCAGCCAATGCCTGCTTCAGCCATGCCACCAGAGCTAGCTCCACCCAAAGCCACTAGGTACATGCAGTCTACACTGGGGACATTTCTACACAAGATCACTCCTTTAAGACAGGGAGAGGTAGCTGTTTTGTCTGATTCATAGAGACAAACACCGGAAGTGAAACAAAATGAGACAGGAATATGCTCCAAATGAAAGAATAAGATAAAACTTAAGAACTGAACAAAATGGAGATAAGCAATCAACCTGAGAAAGAGTTCAGAGTAATGGTCCTAAAGATGCTCACCAGATGAGAGAAAATTAAATGAATGCAGTGAGAACTTAAAGAAATAGAAAATATATTCTTTATCTCTAACTGGTTTTTATAGTAACTGAAATTTTAAAATACCCTAGAGGGAATCAACAGATGATATAGAACAGATCAGTGATCTGGAAAGACAGGTAAGCACCCAAGCTGAATAACAAAAAGAAAAAAAATTTTAATTGAAATAAGGTTAAAGAGTCTCTGGGACAACATCAGAGTGTGGTAACATTCGTGATATAAGGATCCCAGAAGGAGAAGAGAGAAAAGGACGGAAAGCTTATTTGAAGAAATAATAACTGAAATAACTGAAAACTTCCCTAACCTGGAGAAGGAGACAGACTTCCAGGAGAACCCCAAGCAAGATGAACCTAAGGAGGAACAACAAAACCCATAATAATTAAAATGTCAAAGATTAAAGATAAAAAGCAGCAAGAGAAATGCAACTAGCTACATACGAGGGAAATCTCATAAAGGCTATCAGCTGATTTTTCAGTAGAAACTTTGAAATTATATATATGATCCCACTCCCCCTCTGGCCTGCAAAGGGCTGAAAGGAAAAAAACCTACATGCAAGGATGTTCTACCCAGCAAGATTATTTTCAGAATTGAAGGAGAGAGAAGTCACAACCCCTAAATCAGCCTTATAAGAAATGTTGAAGGGCCTCTCCAGGCTGGAAAGAAAAGGCCATAACTAGAAGAAAATTATGAAAGGAAAAAATTTCACCAATAAAAGCAAACATATAGTAAAGGTAGTAGCTTAGTCACTTAAAGGTTGAAATCACAAAAGTAGTAAAACCAATTATATCTTTAAAAAAAAGATTTACAAAATAAAAAGATATAAGACATGCACTAAGTGTGGAGGGGAAGGAATAAAAATGTAGTGCTTTAGAATGTATTTGAATTTGGGATGCCTAGGTGTCTCAGGCAGTTAAGCATCTGACTCTTGATTTCGGCTTAGGTCATGATCTCAGGGTTGTGAGATCAAGCCCCCTGCATTGGGTTCCACACAGGGCATGGATCCTACTTAGGATTCTCTCTTTCCCTCTGCCCTCCCTCCCCAACACTCGTTTGTGCTCTCTCTCTCTTTAAAAAAAAAAAAAAAACGGGTTTGAATTTAAGTGATCATCAACTTAATATACACTGTATATATTTCTAATGTTCTATGGGAACTTCATGGTAACCATAAACAAAAACCTGTAATAGATACCAAAAAAATTAGAAAGGAATCCAGGCATAACACTAAAGAAAGTCAGGAGTCACAAGGGAAGAGAGCAAAAGAAGAAAGGAATAGAACTACAAAAACAGCCAGAAAACAATTAACAAAATGTCATAGGTACATACCTATCAATAATTACTTTAAATGTAAATGGTCTAAATGCTCCAATCAAAAGACAGTGGGTAACTGAATGGATATAAAAACAAGACCCATTTATATGCTGCCTATAAGAGACTCACCTCAGGCCTAAAGACACAGGCTAAAAGTGATGGGCTAGAAAACATACCATGCAAATGGAAGCCAAAAGTAAAGCCAAGGTAGCAATGCTTACATTAGATAAAATAGACTTTAAAACAAAGACACTAGCTAGAGACGAAAGCACTACCTAATGATAAAGGGAACAATCCAACGTAACAATCGTAAATATCTATGCACCCAACATGGGAGCACCAGAATACATGAAATATTAATAGACAAAAGGGAGAAACTGACAGTAATACGATAATCATAGGTGGCTTTAACACTCCACTTACATCAATGGATATATCATCCAGACAGAAATTAATGAGGAAATGGTGACTTTGAACAACACATTAGATCAGACAGACTTCACAAGTACATACAGAACATTCCATCCAAAAATAGCTAAATACAAAATAAAAATAAATAGCTAAATATACATTGTTTTCAAGTACACATTGAACATTCCCCAGGATCTTGCATCAGGCCACAAAACAGGTCTCAATAAATTTATGATTGAAATCATATCCTGTATCTTTTCCAACTACAACAGTATGAAACTAGAAATCACAAGAAAAAATCTAAAAAGAACACAAATAACATACTACTAAACAATGAATGGGTCAACCAAGAAATCAAGAAGGAAATCAAAAAATACATGGAGACAAATGAAAACACAATTCAGTCTTTGGGATGCAGTAAAAGCAGTTCTAAGAAGCTTATAGATATACTGCCCTACCTCAAGAAACAAGAACATTTCAATTTAACCTTATACCTAAAAGAGCTAGAAAAAGAACAAAGCCCAAAGTTAGTAGAAGAAAGGAAATAAAGATCTGAGTGGAAATAGAGATTAAAAAAAAATAGAAAAGATCAATGAAATCAAGAGCTGGTTCTCTGAAATATAAACAAAACTGTATACCTTTAGGCAGATTCATCAAGAAAAAAAGGACTCAAAATGAGAAATGAAAGAAGTTACAACCAACACTATAGAAATACAAAGGATTATAAGAAATGATTATGAAAAATTACAAGCCAATAAATTGGACAGCCTTCCCTCTTGCCACTTTTATCCAGCATAACACTGGAAGACCTGGCTGCAAGAATCAGACAATAAATAAAAGGCATCCAAATTGATAAGGAAAAAGTAAAATTGTTATTTTTTGCAGATGGCATACCATACATAGAAAACCCAACAGACTCCACCAAAAAACTATTAGAATAAATGAATTCAATAAAGTTGCAAGATAAAAAATTAATACACAGAAATCAGTTGTGTTGCTATACACTAATAAAGTAGCAGAAAAAGAATTTAGGAAACAATTCTATATACAATTGCACCAAAAAGAATAAAATACCTAGGAATAAACTTAACAAAGAAGGTATAAGGCCTGTACTCAGAAAACTTAAAAGACATTGATGAAAGAAACCGAAGATGACACAAACAAATGGAAAGACATTTCATGCTCATAGATTGGAAGAACAAACATTGTTAAAATGTTCATACTACCCAAAGCAATCTATAGATTCAATGCAATTCCTATCAAAATACCAACAACATTTTTCACAGAACTAGAACAAATAATACTAATTCGTATGAAACCACAGAAGAATGCCAAATAGCCAAAGCAATCTTGAGACAGGAGAAGAAAATTTGGTATATCACAATCCCAGATTTCAAGATATACTACAAAGCTACAGTAATCAAAACAGTGTAGTACTGGCACAAAAAATAGACACATAGATCAATAGAACAGAATAGAGAACCCAGAAATGATCCCACACTTATATGGTCAATCAACAAAGGAGGCAAGAATATACAGTGGGGAACAGACAGTCCCTTCAATAAATGGTGCTATGAAAACTGGACAGCTACATGCAAGAGAATGACCACTTTCTCACACCATACACAAAAATGCTGGAATTTGGAGTGAATAAATCATGAGGTAAAAGGTACGGCATAGGGAATATGGTCAATGATACTACAATAATGTATGCTGACAGATGGTACCTATGCTTGTGGTTGAGCACAGCATAACATATAGAGTTGTCAAATCACTATGTTGTACACCTAAAACTAATGTAACATGTGTCAACTATACTTCAATAAAAATAGATTGGACAACCCAGAAGAAATACATACATTCCTGGAAACAGAATCTTCTCAGTCAGGAAAAAATAGAAAATCTGAGCAGACTGGTAACCAAATTGAATCAGGAATCAAAAACTCTCAACAAACAGAAGTCTAGGACCAGATGGCTTCACAGGTGAATTCTACCAAACATTTAAAGAAGAGTTAATACCTATCCTTCTCAAAGTATTCCAAAAAATAGAAGAGGAAGGAAAGCTTCCAAATTCATTCTACAGGGCCAACATTCTACAAGGCCAGTTTTTGATAACAAAACCAGACAAACACACCACCAAAAAAAAAAAATTACACATCAATATGCCTAATGAACATAGATGCAAAATTCCTCAAAATACTAACTAACCAAATTCTACAACATTGTGAAAGGATCATTAACCATATTCAAGTGGGATTTATCCCAGGGATGCAAGAATGGTTCAATATCCACAAATCAATATGATACACCACATTAACAAAATGAGAGTCAAAAATCTAATGACCACCTCAATAAATGCAGAAAAAACATTAGACAAAATTCAACATGAAAAAACTCAACAAAGTGAGTTCAGAGGGAACATACCTCAACATAATTAAGACCCTATATGACAAGCCTTCAGTTAACATCATACTCGATGGTGAGAAGCTGAAAGCTTTTCCTCTAAGATCAGGAGGAAGACAAGGATGTCCATTCTTACCACCTTTATTTGATGTGGTACTGGACGTTCTAGCTACAAAAATTGGAAAAGGAGGGGCACCTGGGTGGCTCATTCGGTCAAGCATCTGCCTCTTGGTTTCCGCTCAGGTCGTGATCTCAGGGTTATGGGATTGAGCCCCATGTCGGGCTCCACACTAGTGGAGAGTCTGCTTGGGATTCTCTCTTCCTCTGCCTCTTCCCACCATCTCTCTCTCTCCCTCTCTTGCAAATAAATAAGTAAATCTTTTTTAAAAAATTGGAAAAGAAATAAAGGACATCTAAATTGGTAAGGAAAAAGTAAAACTGTCACTATTTGACATGATACTACATATAGAAAACCCTGAAGACTCCACCAAAAACTATTAGAGTAAATGAATTCAATAAAGTTGCAGGATACAAATGTAATATATAGAAATCTGTTGTGTTGGTGTACACTAATAACAAAGTAGCAGAGAAATTTAGAAAACAATTCCACTTTGGGGCACCTGGCTGGCTCAGAAGAGCATTCAACTATTGATCTCTGGGTTGTGAGTTTGAGCCCCACACTGGGAAAGAAAGAAGAAGAGAGAGAGAGAAAAGAAGGAAGGGAGAAAAGAGAGAGAGAAAGAGGAGAGAGAGGGAGGAAGGAAGGAAGGAAAGAAATCCCATTTACAATTGCTTCAAAGAGAATAAAATACCTAGGAATAAACTTAATGAAGGTTAAGAAGGAGGTTTGAAAGGCCTGTACTCTGAAAACTGTAAGATGTTAATGGAAAGATAGCCCATGCTCATAGGCTGGAAGGATTAATAGTGTTAAAATGTGCATACTACCCAAAGCAATCTACAGATTCCATGCAATTCCTATCAAAATTCCAATAGTGGTTTTCACAAAACTGAACAAAAGATCTTAAAAATGTGTATGGAACCACAAAGATCCCGCATAGGTAAAGCAATCTTAAGAAGAACAAAGCTGGGGTCTCACAATCCTAGATTTCAAGGTATACCACAAATCTACAGTAATCAAAACTGTGTAGTACTGGCATAAAAGTAGACACATAGATCAATGGAACAGAATAGAGAGCCCAGAAATAAACCCACGCTTATACGGTCAATTAATCTACAACAAAGGAGGTAAGAATATAGAGTGGGGAAAAGACAGTGTCTTCAATACATTGTGCTGGGAAAACTGGAAAGCTACATGCAAAAGAATGAAACTGGACCACTTTCTTAACACCACATACAAAAATAAACTCAAAATGGATTAAAGACCTAAATATGAGACCTGAAACCATAAAACTCCTAGAAGAAAACACAGGCAATAATTACTCTGCCATCGGCTTTAGCAACATTTTTCTAGATCTGTCTCCTCAGGCAAGGGAAATAAAAGCAAAAAAACTATTCAGACTATGTCAAACTAAAAAGCTCTTGCACAGCAGAGGAAAGCATCAACAAAATGAAAGGGCAACCTACTGAATGGAGAAGATATTTGCAAATGATATATCTGATGAGGGGTTGATATCCAAAATATATATAAACTCGTACAACAAGTAACACCAAATAATCCAATTAAGAAATGGGCAGAAGACCTGAATAGGTATTTTCCCAAAAAAGACATACACATGGCCAAGAGACACATGAGAAAAGATGCTAAACATTTTTTTTTAAGATTTTCATTTATTTATTTGAGAGAGACCGAGAGAGAGCAAGAACACAAGCAGGGTAAGGGGCAGAGGGAGAAGCAGACTCCCTGCTGAACTGGGAGCCTGATGCAGGGCCCAATCCTAGGACTCCAGGATCATGACCTGAGCCGAAGGCAGACACTTAACCAACTGAGCCACCCAGGCACCCCAAGACGCTCAACATTATTAATCAGGAAAATGTAAATCAAAACCACAATGAGATATCACCTCACACCTGTCAGAATGGCTAGTACCAAAAAGATAGGAAATAACAAGTACTGGCAAGGATGTGGAGAAAAGGGAATAAGCCCCAGTGTGCTGAGGGTGGGACTGTAAATCAGTGCAGCCATCATGGAAAACAGTATAGAGATTCCTCAAAAAATTTAAGATAGAAAAACCATAAGACCCATTGATTCCACTTTTGAGTATTTTCCCAAAGAAAACAAAAACACCAATTTGAGAAGATCTGTGCACCCCTATGTTTACAGCAGCATTATTTATAATAGCCAAGATTATGGAAGCCACCTAAGTGCCCACGGATAGATGAATGGATAAAGAAATGTGTGTGCATGTGTCACACAATGGAATATTACTCAACCATAAAAAAGAATGAAATCTTGCCATTCACAACAACATGGATGGGCTTAAATAGTATTATGCTAAATGAAATAAGTCAGACTGTAAAAGACACATACCTCATGATTTCACTTATATATAGAATCCAAGAAACAAAACAAACAGAAATAGACTCAAATCCAGAGAAAAAACTGGTTGCCAAAACAGAGGTAGATGGGGGATATGGGCAAAATAGGCAAAGGGGATAAGAAGTACAAACTTCCAGTTATAAAATAAGTAAATCACAGGAATTAAAAGTACAGCTTAGGGAATATAGTCAACAATATTTAATAACTGTATGTGACAGTGGTAACTACACTTACCAATGAGGAGCATTTGTAATGTATAGAATTGTTAAAACACTATGTTGTACACCTGATATCACATTGTATGTCAACTATACTTCAATTTTTAAAAAAAATCATTAAGATCATCAGAAGAAAAATATGTAGCGTTACAGTGGTTGAATATCGTATTGTAGGTCTTCTGGGTTGAAGGCACTAATTTGCTTTCGTAGGTTCCCTTTCTGCATTCCTAACTTGAGAGCCATAGGGACAGTCTTCTCAGTGTCAGTCCCTACAGGCTAGGGACATTATGCCAAATGTGTCAAGGTAAACAGGTATCACTCCCAGTCAGAGCTGACAGTGACTGTCCACTACAGTCATGTCGAATCGCTCTATTTGATTTGAAAGTCTCTAAAGACAATTAGGTGTTTAAGAAAAACAAAAGATGTGAGCTTAGGATGTACTAGTCACTCTCTTAAAGGGTACAGGACCATGACAGCATTTATTTAAACCCAAGTGAGACCCTCAGTGCAGGCTTTTCAATGTAACCTTTTTACTAAGCCATCAATGAGTGGGAGACACTCTGGCTGTGTTCATGGGCCTGCTAGAACCAGATGACCATACCTCTTTGATGAAGGAGCCTGGCCGACCCTGAATCGCATTTAAGTGAAAGCCATAGCCGTTTTCCCCTTTAACCAGCCGGCAGAGCTTAGGCTTATGATCTCCTACTTCCTCTGTAGTATCTGGACTCGAAACCTCTAGAGGAGCAGGTGTAGGAGCTGTAGTCTCCTTGACAGAACCATTAGGCAGTTCTTGACTTTGATAGTAGAGAAATGGAGAAAAATGAGCCTTTTGAAAATAAAGGGAAAAAACCATTAACTGTAAGTATGAGTAGTTACACATTATTAAATGTGCTAGCTTAATTTACAAGGGGTCATGCATGTTCCACAAGCCTGGCAGACACATCTGGTTGTGGGCAGTAAAATTTCTATACTACCCCAACCAGAAAAGGTATAAAGAAAGATTGAGCTTGGCTATGGAGTAAATAAATTCGCATATACATAAAATAAAAGCAGTATAGGATGCTGTACAAAGATGCAAAAATAACTAACAAAAATGCTAGTTTCTTTTGACTGTCACTGACCAACTGTAGGCAGTGTCCCTGTGGGAGATGACACACATCGAGTGACTTGGCCTGTAACTCATGCATAATAGGTTCATCTAGCCCTTCCTCCTCAGTGAGATGGTCTTCAGAGCTCCTTAAACACATCAGAGAAAGTGAAACAAAACACTATTTTCATTACCATCTGAAGTACACAGAGTAATTTGTTGTACTCATTTTACTATTGTTTGTTGTAATCATTAGCTGACACTCCTGTTATGCCAAACTCCTCACCATCTTTAAATACTTCTAATTCATCTCCACTCTCAGACCAGCCATGCGAAGAAGGGAATGATGGTCTTAAATACAAAAGAGACATAGAACAGGAAACATATGACTGATTTTTTAAAAGAATTAAAAGCTTAGTAGACTGTGGGTTTTAATTGAGAATTAAAAGGGTAGCTTTGGGTATGGTAAGATCCTGGATCAGCCGTTAAATTGCTGCCCACAAGTATCCAGGACATTTGTTAGGCCATGAGTAGAAAATCAAGCAATTGAAAGTGAGTACAGTGTGCACTCTGCCCCAAATTGTACTGTTCAGCAGCCTGGTTAAAATTAGATTGGGGTCCTCTGGTTATCATCTCTCTCACTAACGACAAGACCACATCTTCCTTTCTAAATAAGAGTAACACCAGCTAAGAACTCCTACTTACCCGGTTCAACTAAATTTCAGAACTTTCAGTGATATACTTGCAAATGTCCCACATTTCTCTCTGTCTTTAAAATGTGGAAAGTTGGGACGCCTGGGTGGCTCAGTCAGTTAAGCATCTGCCTTTGGCTCAGATCGTGATCCCAGGGTCCTGGGATAGAGTCTTGCATCGGGCTCCCTGCTCAGCGGGGAGCCTGCTTCTCCCTCTGCCTGCCACTCCCCCTGCTTGTGCCCTCTCTCTCTGACAAATAAATAAATAAAGTCTTTTAAAAAAATGTGGAAAGTATCAGTGACTCATTACATACAAAAATACCTCTGACATCACTACCCAACAGGCAAATCAACTGTATGTGATAGTAGCAGCTGATCTTGAAGGTAAGTACAGTAACATTAAACAGTCAATGAGTTTTTATTCACTTTCAGTTATTTGCGTGCCTAATATGTGCCAGGAACTGCTTTAGGTGTTTGTTTTATTCAACGATGTATCTCAAAGATCCCCCACTGAGCCACCCACCCCTGTATGTAACCTACTTTAGAGGGGGTTTGGGGGGAGGGAGGGAGAAGATGGGGACAGGCATCTTTTTAGATCAAAGTTCTCTCATATTAAACCAGAACATTATAGTTAAATCATTGTCATAAAATCAGGAGGGATTGGAAAAGCACTGATGTCAGAATCCCCTTTACAGCAGCCAGAGCAGTGACCTCCTGACTTCTGCCTAAACTTTCCCACCAAATGGGAGGTCACCACTTGGCAAAAATGGCTCCCCCTGTTTCTGGCAGCTTCAGCTGTCCTTAAGCCAAAAGCTAGCTCCCTAGACATTCTCTATTTGATTAAGCTATGCCCCATAGAACACCTCAAAAATAAGGACTTCTTGCATGTAATAGCCTTCTGAATTCTTTTATATATATGTGTGTATATATGTGTATATTTATATATGTGTGTATATTTTATATATATGTATGTTTATATTATATATATATACATATATATATACATATGAAGAACATACACACACACACACATACACACACTATATTTACATCTTTATATCCATTCATTTGACAGTGGACACTTGGGTTGATTCCATCTTTTGGCTCTTGTGACTTAATCTGTGGTCTAACATATGGTCTATCCTGGAGAATGTCCTATGTGCCCTTGAGAAGAATGTGTTCTGTTGTTGGGTAGAGTGCTCTGTATTTCTGTTAGATCTAGTTGGTTTCTTTTGTTCATCAAGTCCTTGGGTTCCTTATCTTCTGACTGGTGGTTCTATCCATGATAGAGAATGGGATATTGAAATCTCCCAACTATTATGGTAGAACTGTCTATTTCTACTTTCAAGTTTGTCAATGTTTCCTTCATGTTTTTTCCAGCTTTATTAAAGTGTAATTGACAAATTGTATATATTCAAGGTGCATAGTATTATTTGATACACATATGCATTGTGAAGTGATCACCACAATCAAGGTAATTAACATATCTATCACCTTACATAGTTACCATTTAGCCTTTCAAATTCTTGAAGATGTTCTCCTTTCTTCCCCAAAGCCTATGCTTATTCAAACTAAATATTCACATGGTGATTTCCCAAACCTCTGCCCTGATTACCTTTCTTGACACTGGCCTTCTTATAGTCATGTTCTCAGAACTGCACACGGTGTTGACTTAACAAACAACATTTCTATGTGCCAGGCATTATTCTGAATGTTCTAAATATTACCTCAAATAACCCTTCACAGTAACTATCCCCATCTTACAACTAAGAAGGCAAGCACAGGGAGGGTAACTTGCCCAAGATTACATTACTGGTCATTTCAAGTATGGTCTGAACAACTCAGTACAGTAGTACTATCACCTCCGAAGGCCAAGTGTCAGTTAAGGTAACTTTAAATTGCCTTTTGCGGGGTGGGGGCAGCTACTTAGAGTATCATCAGGTTTCTGGTCTTTTTTTGTAGTCCTCAAATCAGGTCTCACCATTTGGTATTCATACAATTTCGTTTTAAGTTAGTTTAGTACCTGAAATTCATTCCTGTTTAAACTTAAACTTATTAGTTTTTATTCTTCTTTCTATCCTGACTGGATATTTTGAATATTATAATCTCTAGTAAATTAATTACCCATCAACACATTAAGCCATCTGTGTATGACTTAAGTATATTAAATGTTTTCCATGTCTCCATCCAAATGTGGTAATAAACTAGCTTAGGATAAGAAGCATACCACTGGAGACATCTATTCAGACTGACATTGTTCCAGTATCAATTATTCTTCAGGTATGGTTGTACAACGAGCTAAAAACCCATTAACTGTTCTATCATCCAGTTCACTCTTTAATTTTCTTTACACAGTACCTTAAAATTGCTAATCAAAATGTGCTGAGAGGGTATATGGTATAATGAATTAAGAACTTGGGTTCAAATACAGGCCGAGGTGGGTGACTTTTTAAAAAATGAAGTTTAGAGCGACTAAGAAATTGCTAATCTATAAAAAGGGGCTAATACCACCCCCTACCATATTCCTCCCTCTGTATTATTTATGCACCTTTGGATGTTCCATTATTGTATATCACCTGGAACAAGTCCATCTTTGTTCATCTGTGTGACCATCACGTAGTGAGGCAGATGGTATTGGCAGAAGGCCTCCAAATGTCTGTTAAGCTAGACTGAACACCTCAGTTCTTGCGATAAAATTAAAAGATTATTTAAAAACAAAACATGCAGATAACACCTGTTGTGATTAAAAGCTGAGAGCAAATATGGTTAGTTTGACACTAAGGTTAGTCTTGGTGAATTCGTGTTTCTATTTCCTTGCTAAGGGCTTAGAAGCTGTTTAACAATCCTTTCTAGGCTTTTATGTGGGGTTAATGGAATTAATTGGTCTATAGTTTTAAAATCTGGTTGTTTCCTATTTGGGAAAGGTAGGGCTACATCTGCCTATTTCCAGGCTATTGTTCATAGATTTTTCTCAGATTACCAAAAGTAATTCTATAGTTACATTTGCAAATTCTTTCAAAATTTTGAATCTAAGGACTTAAAACTCATGTACCAATCACTTGGCATTCTCTTATCACTACCAATTTGAACTTCAATGCAGCCTTAATGATGATTGTTATGCCCTTCCAGTTTGAAAATCAAAGTGGTAACTTAGCCACAGTGTGAGGACTTGAGTGAATGGACCCAACCTTAATGCATGAATATGCGGCCTTAAATTATTTACCAGTCTATACATGTTGTCCGTCTCTTTGTCCACCACCAGCAGTGAAGTCTGATCTCCGCCCTTTCTAATCATTTCTACCACACTGTCATGATCCAGGGATTCCACAGACTCGCCGTTGACAGCGACTAACAGGTCATTGTTCTTCAAGCCAGCCTCCTCTGCTGGACTTCCGGAATCTATGTCCTTGATGACTTGACCTACCCTCCCCCAAAATTAAATAAAATTATCAGAAAGACCCCTAAATTAAGCTGTCGAATTTCTGCTGAAGCCAAAAGCTCTGATAACATAAATTTAAAAGGCACGCTGCATACGACTGCCCCTCCCACTGGCACCCAAGGAAGACGATAAGCACCCTATCCAGCCTCATTCCCTGCCCACAACTTACTCCAGGAACAAATTCAGCCATTACTGATGAAAGGATCTTAAAGAAAAGAATCCGGTTGTTACCAAAGTGTCTGAGACTCAATCTTGACAAAAGAGCATGCTAAGCATTAAGAGTCAGCAAGTTCCCAGGAAGTCAGTGAGCAGCCATGTACCCATACATCTTATGTAGAAGCTAAGCCATTAAAATGGGGCAGGAAGAAGAAAGAAGAACAAAACCAAAGAACTCAGAGCCTAGGAAACACATGCTGGCATTTTAGTAGCAACTGGGTGTATTCAACTGTGAACGTGTTTGTGTGTGCTTGCCTCAAGGATGCGCCTTTACCCTTCCTCTCCTGACTTGAACTGTCTTCACCAGGTGCCTTCAGATCTCTCACACTTTTTTTTGTCCCTCCCACTATTTTAACAAGCTCCAGTTTCACTTTTCCAGCTAGCTGCTGGGCATCTCCAACTAGATAGCCCATAGGTCCCTCAAATGTAACACATTCAAACCAAAAGTCATCTCTGCCCATCTCCCACATCCCAAAGCTCCTCCCCTTGTCACCTGACCATGGCAGCACCATCACCCCAGTCACTGATATTTAGCATCAATTCTTCCTCAGTATCCACTCCCCATATTCTAATCAACTGCTAGGTCATTTGATGCTACCTTAATATTTGACACATCTCCTCTCTGGCCCCACTTCTTCTACCCTAAGTGCATGTGGTATTAGTTCCTGCCTTAAATTCTACCTAACGACTACAACACCTCACCAACTGCTCTCCCTGCCCCTAATCCTTGCCTTCTCCGCTACAGATCTGCCTTCAGATTCATCCTGATGCAAGGTCTGACCAAGCCATTCCTGGCTACAACGGCACAAGTGAGGGCTTTAGAACTGAACAAGACCTGAATTTGATCCTAGTTAAGCCACAACTATTTGTCCTTATAATAATTACTGTATCTTCTCCCTGCCCTCAATTTCAGAAATTCTTCTTGCAGAATTATTAGGAGTAATTGAGATATATAAAGCCCCAAGATGCTGTAGGCTTAATTTTTTCCTCTCACACTGTTGAAAAAACTTTTCACTCCCCATCAACTACAGAGCCAAGTCCAAACTCTTCAACTTGGCATTGAAGGCCCTCATCATCTCTTTCCAACCTACCTGCCTAGCGTCGTTTTCTGTGCCACGCATTAGATGCCAAACGGCACCCATGTTTCCCTGCTTTGTTCACACAATCCTATCCTCATGGAATGGCCTTCGTTGTCCCCATACCGTCTACTTGTCCAAATTTTATTCACACTACAAAGCCTGAGCTCAGCTGCTATCTCTACCATGAGGCCTTCCAGTACTTTTTTAGTAAGAAAAACTGCTCCAATCTTGAATTCCAATACTACTCTACCCCACATTAAGGTGCCCCTCACCATCCACCTTCAGTTATGGACATATGTGTGTATTTCCTCTACTAAATAGTGGGCTCCTTGACTGAAGAATTCCTGTTTGATTCACTTGATATTCTATAAGGCCCTGAGGATGTTTTTATATAATATGAATCAAATTAATATTTGATGAATTAACATAAATATACATAATGAAAAGAAAATAGCAATGTCTAGAACAACAGTTTGCCTGAGTCTGCATTCCTTTATATATTCAGCTTCCCTATAAGGACCTTAGTTCTTTCCTTGTTGAGTTATAAGGAATCAGAAAGATTCCGGATTCTATTTGTTTCCCAGATCCCGACCCACACCCCTGACTCAGATCCAGTGGTGTATTGGAGTTGGCTCACACCAGCTTGTGAGAACCATTTCTCTTCAAGACTTCTCAACTTTGCATTCTGTGACAGCACATTCATGGCTTGAAATCAGGTATCTTGGGAGTATTTACACCACAAAAAAATCAACAAAAAAGTCAACAAATGCTACAAATTAGGGCATTTTTTTTTCCCAGAGAGCAAATTTACAGCATACTACTGCCCAGATCCAAAATTCTGCCTTATCATTCTGCTAAGGAAACCTTGAGATGCCCATCATGGCCCCCATGGAAAATGACCCAGCCATGCTCTCTAGTCTCTCACTGTCCCCTCATGCAGTTGGTAGGGACTCGGGGGCCTAACAGAACTCTGGAGTCAGAGTGGGTGAAGAATTAGATAGTTACACTACCAGGTTTTCTGTTCTTCTAGTGCCTTACCTTTCTGTTCTGGGCCTGCCCTTAGATAGAAACCATAGCCATTGCTTCCCTTCTTCATCTCCACAACCCGGGGCTGGTGGGGTAGCAATTTCAAACTGGCCGTTTCTCTCTTGAATTTTATCTTCTGCTCAGCATGGAGCTTGTCAGTCTCCTTGTCCACCAGCAGGAACACGACTCGGCTTCCGGATTTCTTCACCTGCAACAGCACACACAGGTAAGACTGACAGCCATCTCCAAGAACAATGCTGGGAAGCAGGGAAGTTTCTTCCTAGAGGCACACAGTCTCCAGATTCGATAGAAAAGATGGAATGTAAGGCCCAAGTTTAAACTATGATACTCCCACCTACCATCAATAATAGTCAACACTATCTCCACGTCCACAGTTGTGTATGCCCTCACCCACACAGATGCTAACTGAACCTACGTGAGAGCTAGAATTCAGAAAACCCAGAAGCGTACTTAAGTGAGGTACTTAAGTCTAGAAAAGGAGTTTGGAAAATCAAGTTAAGGTCTATTTTGAAAAATTATTCTACCAAGAAAAGATAAAGTTGGTCAGTTTTCAAGGTTCCATATGACCTCAAAGGAAAACCTCAGAGTATTATCCATGTGTCATGGAACTGTGCTGGGATGTAAGATTTGGGCTTGACACAGACATTATTCGGTTGGTTTCTACTGATCTGAATAGAAGAACGGGTCTTCCAACACTCCCCATGTGTAGCTCTGTATCCCTCACCACATTGGTTATCTGCCAGCTTGTATTAAAACATTTTAGTAAAACACCGACTTTGTTATAAATTCAGAGGGGGCTCCCAATCAGGTACAAATAAGATCCAGAAACTAAAGTTAACGATTCTTTAGAATGCTTCTCTCCGAAAACCTGAAACTAGCAAAGGCCTTATTCCAAAACCCTATGTTAACACTGCTGACACCACTAGTGAGTCTGTTCCCTCTTAATACAAAGGGTTCGTTAACTTCTCATCATTATATTCCTCCCATCATAAACTACCATTCGTGTCTTCCTGTCACTTGCAACAAGAACAGAGTGAAAGGTAAGAAAAGTACCCCTCTGGGCTATACCTTGGCAACCACTTCCTCATGGCTGGCATCTTCGACATTCTCTCCGTTCACTTCAATCAAGTGATCACCAGCCAGGACACCAGCTTTCATAGCCACACCTTGAGGCGTTATATCCGTCATGTACACTCCCTTTTTACCTGCAAGGGTGTGGACAAGCATGACAACTCCATTACACAGAAAGTCCAATTATAAAGGGTTTTTTCCCAATAATGTAAAATTACAACTTCCAGTTTTAAAGCTAACTCAAATAGACTTGGGCTTCTGATCTAGAATTAAAATTATAGCTCCTAGCACAAAGCTTGACACAGACATTATTTGGTTGGTTTCTACTGATCTGAATAGAATTTCTGAGCCCAACTGAAGGCAAGGAAGGAATCTCAGAGGGCAGTGGCCTCTTGAGCCAGAAAGCACCAAGCCATGTCCATGCTGCATCATTGTATCTTACTCCTGTTCTTCGCCTTTGTGGAATTAGAAGGCATCTGCTCCATTCTGTCTTCTTTAATTAGTACCATCACCAACCATCACATACCAATGAAGTCACTAAATCTCGCTCATGCAGGCTTAAGAGGACAGAGGCACAGAACGGCAGGGATGTATACACATGTACAGTCTGTCTAGATTAGTAGATGATGCGATTTAGGTGCTTCTTATAGAAATGCTGTCAATTCTTTCCAGATATTAATATTTCAACCTAGGCAAAGGGTAGCTTCACAATGACAAAATAAATCATTTGTAAGGAACAACAGTATAAACTGCTGCCTTAAAATTTCTCCCATTACCTTGTTATATATTTGTCATGAAGAAAACATCTTCTTCATAAAGCTAATTTAAACCATTTATTATGTACATTAGCACAAGAGTCAAATGAATAAAATCTGAATTATGATAATTTTTTCACCATTTTGCTGATAATGGACTTCTAAGAAATGCCAAGCTTCCCTTGACCACCTGCGCCATTATGTTTAATAATGGACAAACTTGAGAAATACCTCTTACAGCTAATTTATATCACTTACTATAGGTTAAATAAGCCTTGGGAACAATTTTATGTTTACTATTGGTCTGCTATTTATTACTTACCCAATTATGACCAGTGCTCCTCCAGTAGCAGGAAGAACATGGGAGGAGCAACATTCAAGGTAGAACCAAAAGGCTTATATAGCCTCTATGGCTCTAACCTAAATCCCAGAGACACCATCACAGAACCACGACCAACTGAGCAAGAGCCAGCCTGCATCTCTGAAATTCTAGAAACAGAGCTTCTAGTACTTGCTGATGGACGTACCTTAGAGCCATGGAGGCTAGGCCACAGCTGAAGGTCCTATTTCAATGTCACGGCGTTGGGGGGGGATGATTAGTAGAGTAGCATCTGTGGCAACTATAACAGGGTCTGGCCCATCAACAGGTGCTCAAGAATTTGTTGAATAAATGATTACCTGGGCACTCAGAAGTGTAAAGATATCATCCTTCTTCAAAAGTAGCTCTTATAAAGAATCTCTTTTTTCTTGCCTTTTATTCCCCCTTCTCCCCTCCACCCTCACCCTAAGGCAGCTAGGAAAGAATAACAAAGAAGCATCAGCCCTCTAACCCTCTGGCCTCCAAGGCTCAGCCTAACAAACACTGGGGGACAAGAGTGACTAGTGGCCCTCCCCACCCTGTGCTGGGTCCAGTGTTTTGATCCTTCATTGCACAATTGTCAAAGCAAGGGAAGGGCCAGGGAGGGAAGGAGGGATGGAGGGAGAAGCTGCAATTGGATAGCCATAGCATCTGAAAAGTTTGTCAAAGAAGTCAGTAACCAATAACAATATCTTTCTTCTGGAAATTCCACCCTCGACTCACCTTGGACAGTTTTCAGAGAGAAGCCATAGCTGTTCCCCTCCTTCACCAAATAGCAGAGCCGTGGCTGAGTCCGAGTCTGTGCTCCTTCGTTCATCACAGCAGGCAGTTTCTTATCATTCACACTCGGCTCTTTCTGACTTTGACCCAACTCTTTCAAGTCTACCTGCTTTTTCATTGCTTTCTCATAGGAATCCCCATCCAGGACTAGTAAAGTCACTGAATTCCCACTCTTTCTGACCAGATCTACAACCTAGGAGGAAGAAAAAGATAACCAACCAAGAACCTTATCAGCCACCATAGGGGATGCTCACCATCTGGCTCATTCACTGGATCTAGAGATTCTTGAATGCTGACCCCTGAAGCCCAAAGAGTCAGCAGGTGGTGCTCCAGCCATCTAGACCCCATCCCTCCTAAGATCCAGGTACAGATTGGAGGGGGCAGGGCTCTCGCACTGTTGGAACCCAGAGTGTGGCCAAATCCTAGCTGGGCTAATGGAAACAGCCTGGTGTAGTGAAAGGAGCATCCACCAGGAGGTAGGCAGAACTGGGGTAAGGTCAGACCCTCCCATGTGTTCACTGCATGAACACATCAGCAAGCGAAGTTCTCTGAGCCTTTGAGCCCTCTTCTGTGAAATGGTGATATGTGACCTCATGGGTTGTGATGAGGGTTCAACAAAATAATGAATATGAAATTGCCTAGCATAGTTCCTGGCATATAGCAAACCTGATGCCTATTGGCTCTGACACTATTCAATCTAGGAATAATTTTACAGTTCCCAGTTAATTGGAGGGGACTTGATTAGTGGGCAGAAGGTATAGCCATAAAGGGGTCTGCCTTGCCAGTGGCAGCTGGGAAATCTCCACTGACCCCAAAAACTTATCAGCAGAGATGTGGAGGCTAAAGAGATCCTAGAAGAAGAACCCCAGATGTCCCATTCACCTGCATATGCTCTTCCTTGTCCACAAAGACACCATTGATCCTAAGAACTCGGTCTCCATCCTGGAGGCCTGCCTTCTCCGCTGGGCTACCCTTCTCAACTACCCGGACCAGGTGGCCAGCAGTGTCCTTCTCAATCCGCAGGAAGAAGCCATAGCTTTGCCCTTCTTGTTTAGACAGCTCACATTCTCGTGGATGGAAGGTGGAAGCCATTTCTGTGATGAAAAACAAATGGATAAACCCATGGGAAAGAAAATCTGCTTGGAGAGAGAACCCTTGTCCTCCCTCTCCCATGATCCTGTTCTAACCATGCCAAATCTAGACTGTAGCAACACTGGGGGTGTAGAAGGCCACCTCCCAGGACTTGCTAATAATTTCCAAGTCTGTTTCCCAAGGATGATCTTTTTACTTGAGTTTCAGACCCATGTATTTGGCTGGGTCCTGGACACAGATTTTTCAGTTTCAATAGCTCCAAAACTAAATTCCTCTTTGTCCCCTGATCTAAAGAAAGTAGGTTTAAATACCTGACCTAAAAATTTTAAGAAAATCCAAGCCCACCTTCATTCAAATATTTGAAGAGCCTCCCTAGTCCTCAAGGACTAGGTCTTGAGGATAAATCTGTGACCTATCCTTTGCCTCTCATATCGGGGAGAATGTATTTTTACAACAACACATAGTGAGTGATATGCTAGGCAAGAACAGAGTGATAAGGCAGAATATAACAAAGGGCGTTGGGAGTAGGGAATGGGACGGACAGAGTTAAGAATGGCTTCCTGGGAAAATGACTTTCCTATATGACCTGAAGGACTAGTGGGAGTCAGGTGAGGTAGGACCGGATCAGGAAGATGTCAAACAAGTGGAAACTGAGACACCAGCCCTCAGAGCTGGCCTGATCTATTGGAGAGGAGATAGAAAAGTGGTTGACCAGGACCCTGAAGTTCTCGTCAGAGCAGAGTAGGGATGCACCCCAGAGAAAGGACTCCTGGGGCCGGGTCCCACTTCTCCCGCCTGAAGCAGCTTCTGCTTCCATCCATCCTGCCCTTCCTTTTGCCCCACTGCCAGGAGCGAGGTCCTGGGCCACAGAAGAAACGACAAGTGCAAAAAGCACGGGCTGGGGCGTGGGCACCCAGTTCCTACGGGGAAGGCTCCTGCCAGTGTCATCCATCCCTCTTGGCTGAAGCATTTTCTTTCACGGGAGAATCAGAATGGAAGCCAGAATGGCTGGTGCAAGGCAGAGGCCTGAGTTCCCTACCAGTAAATCAGAGACTAAACCTTCTGTCCCTTCCCTCCTGGCGGGACAGGAACAGAGGAGCGCCGAGGGCGTGGAGGGTGTGGTGGAGGAGAGACAGCGAAGTCCTCCAGGCCCCCTAGCAGCCACAGCGTAGCGATTCCAGATAGCCATCTCTGGCCTTCACGCCCACAGAGACACCCAGTACAAACGGGGCAGAAAGGCTCCCACTGCCCGACAGCTTGGCCACTCAGCAGTCGGCAGCCACGCCCCCAGCGGCACGAATGACTAAGCAGTCGAGGAAACAAACAAATAGACACCATTTCAAGTGATCTCTCGCCAAGGGCCCAGGGCCTGAGCCCTCCCCACTGTGTCCCCAGGGAAGAGAAAAGTGGAGCCACAATCGTGTGGTCAGAGGCCACCCCTGGGGGAAATTAGCAGCTCTCGGAGCATGACCTGCTGCCAGAAAGACACCACTTTGGGAGGAGACGGGGAAGAAGGGTACTGGGGGGAACTGGGCACCACCAGAGCGGGGCTTCCTCACATTCAGGCACCTGGGCTGCCTGAACCTTTATTTTCCTTTCTGCTGAGCATCTGGCCTGCATGTATCAGTTCCATTTTCCAGCTCAAACCCACATCTATATCCAAACTCACCTCTAGATCCCTCTCAACTTTCAATTTCGTAGGACTAAAAACTGGAAAAAACCAAAGCCCTCTGAAATTTGGAGATAATTATAGAGAAACTTCAACCAAAGCCCACAAAATCCGCAACATGTCCTAATAATCAAAATAAAGGCCATTCAATGCTATGTTTTCGTCAAAAGATGAGACGGTCTGTGGTCAACATATGCATGCTCATTTCTAAGGCACCCACGCCCAAAATTCAGCCATCTCACACCCTGGGTGTCAGCCACAGGATCATAATCGCTTTCTCTGAAGGTCTGCAAAGATAGAAAGTGAAACCTCCTTGCCAGCCAGACCAGTCCCATGTTTAGGGAGGGGGTAAGAGGCATCATTTTCCTAGGTCTCAACAGACACACAAGGAAAGACAAAGCTCTATTTCTTGGCAAAATCCCAAGTTGTTTTTTTATTTGGTGAAAGTTTTCAACCAACCAGACGGCAATCACTCAGATCTGCACTTGTGTCCTTGAGGCCTCGGGCACTGGCTGAGAAATGGCTCTGAGCCCCCTCTGGCCTCCTGCCCCCACGTCAGCCCCTCCCCACAAAGCAGCCACTGGTGCTGGTGCCCATATGCCACGCTGATGAAATCCTGAACACCTTCAACCATAGCAACAGAGAAAAGCAGATCAATGCCCCAAAAGCCGGGACTTCCATGGGACCCTTGGAGCCCTAAAACCGTTTCCTTTGCCATCTTGCCAAGTGACAATTCAACTAGGAGCCGAAGGGCTGGGCTCTGGTCCAGCTCCAGACCTGGGTTCATCTGGTGTTACTCTGGCCCCTAAGTCAGGGTTGGGACCCGTGACTTTAGCAAGATTATCACTGCTCCGTGATGAGGATGCCTGGGACTCTGGAACACAGGGCCTAAGAGGAAGGATCTTTGTATTTAAGGATGCTCATTCCAGTTTCTTCACCCCCATCCCCATCTTCTGCTTCCTGAGAAAATCCAGATCGGACCCCTATGGTGGGCAGGTATTTAACTAGAGAAGGCATATGGATTTCTATAACACGGTACCAGCAGTCATCCAGTGCTGGAGTCCGTTAAATCTTCAGCAGGCTTCATTCCCCAGTTCAGATAGCCAAAGTAAAATACTGGAAATGAAAGAAAGCTATAACCCCTGCTGAGTTCTGGCAAGAAAGTCAACTCTTGGCAACAAAGTTGCTTGCCTGTGGGAAAGAGAACAAAGTGCTGGCTGGTGGTCAGGGCGGAGAGCCAGAGATTTTTTTTTTAATCAATCTTAATTATTAATCATACCTTCAGACCCTACCTTCTTCCAAAAGAATTAGATTATTGCTACCAGGAAAGGGAATAATATGCCCATGGTCAAGAAGGAACGTTTGGCACACTTTAGAAGTTGGGAAGGTGAGGCAATAACAACAGAGGAGAGTGGGTAGGACTTCTGGATGTGGCCAGAGAAGAAAGAATTGAAGCCACTGGGCTATTTTCCACAGGATAGAAATAGCTGGGGGGACCCAGAGACTCTTTTGAGCCCAAGGCAGGTCAAGACTTCTCAGCTCCCAGGCAGCCATCAACATGGGCCCATCTCTGACCCCTAGTCAAACCCCTCACCAGCAGCCTGCACACAGAGCAGAAGTCCGAACCGGGAGCTATTCCAGAGAGGAGCATGACCTACATCAACAAGACCCAAAAAGCCAGGAAAGTTCAGCTGTTGGCTGAGGCTAAGAAGTCATCTCATTTTCCCCTCCATTTGTGCATTTGGGGCTGGAAGCTGCAGGACTTTCCTCAGCAGGGCTAGCCAAGGAAGCAGTGAGACTCCATTCAGTTGATCCCGGTGCCTGTGGGACTTATACGGAAGTGTGCCTGCCCTGTCACCTTGCACATCAAAAAGTTCTCTGTTCTACCAAAAAAAACCAATCTGATTGTTAAAACTGGGCAGAGGACCTCAATAAACATTTCCCAAAGGGATACATGAAAAGCTGCTCAACATCACTAATCATCAGGGAAATGCAAATCAAAACCACAAGATGTATCATATTACACCTGTCAGAATGGCCAGTAACAAATATAAATATATATATACATATATATATATTACTCAGCCATAAAAAAGAATGAGATCTTGCCATTAGCAATGACGTGGATGGAACTGGAGGGTATAATGCTAAGTGAAATAAATCAGAGAAAGACAAATACCGTATGATTTCAGTTATATGTGAACTCTAAAAAAGGAACAAATAAAGCAGACACAGACCCATAAATACAGAGAACAAACCGATAGTTGCCAGAATGAAGGGGGTGGGGGATGGGCAAAGGGGGTGAAAGAGAGTGGGAGAGACAGGCTTGCAGTCATGGGGATAAAAGGTACAGCGCAGAGAATACAGTCGATGGTACTGTACGGTGACAGACGGTGGCTACACTTGAGCATAGCACAACACAGTTGTCCACTCACTAAGTTGTACACCTGAACTAATGTAACACTGTGTCAACAGGGGCGCCTGGGTGGCTCAGTCGTTAAGTGTCTGCCTTCAGCTCAGGTCATGGTCCCAGGGTCCTGGGATCGAGTCCCGCGTCGGACTCCCTGCTCGGCGGGAAGCCTGCTTCTCCCTCTCCCACTCCCCCTGCTTGTGTTCCCTCTCTCGCTGTGTCTCTCTCTGTCAAATAAAT